TAATTATTTTTGTAGTATAACCTGTGTTAATGATGTTGATATTCCAGTTCAGATGATTGAATCCAAAACAGATACACGTTTTGTATCTTTGCGGTTAAATCATTCAGAAACAAAAGATGTTTTAGAAGTTTTAAAGCTAGGAAAAGCTTCGGGAGGGGATGGTATTAGTCATCATGTGCTGAAGTATACTGCTAACTCTATCTGCAAACCACTTGAAATGCTTTTTAACATGTCACTTTCTTCGTGTGTATATCCAAATAGATGGAAACTTACAACTGTTATGCCGCTTTTCAAAAAGGGAGATCGTCATACGCCGTGTAACTATAGACCTATATCCCTACTATCTACAGTTGGTAAAGTGTTTGAGCGTATAGTTAACAAACACTTGTATAATAATTTTTTTTGAAAATAGCTTGTTTTATCGATACCAATCAGGCTTTATGCCTTGTCATTCTCCTGTTTATCAACTTATTGAAATGTACCATAATATTTGTATTGCTTTACTTGCATTATTTTTTGTTATATATCAAAAGCGTTTGATCGTGTTTGGCACAGGGGCTTGATAGCAAAGTTAGAAGCGTACGGAATTTCAGGGAAATTATTGCATTGGCTCGAAAATTATTTATACCGGCGCAATCAGAAAGTTTTAATTGGAAATTCATTTTCGGAACTAGGTAATATTGACGCAGGTGTACCTCAAGGGTCAATACTCCAGGTTATTTGCAGATGAGACATCCTTACTTTATTCTGCTTTTTCATGCTATGAAATACAGACCGTTCTCAACAAGGACCTAGAATCTTTAAATCAGTGGGCTAAACGTTGGTTGGTTTCTTTTAATCCTCAAAAAACGGACGTTCTTTTTATTTCAAATGCAAACGATATTGACGATGACTTGGATTTGATGTTTGATGGGGAAAATTAAAATTTTACAGACATACATAGACATTTAGGAGTAAATTTCAATTCAAATGGAAAATGGGGGAGTCATGTTGAAGATTAATGTTTTACGAAAACTCAAATACTTGTTGAAAAGAGATTCATTTTTGAAATTTATAAATCTTTCATTTTACCAGTTTTTGAATATGCCTGTGAATTATGGGAGGGTTGCACTGCTTGTGAATCCTAGAAATTAGAGAAAGCTCAAAGAGAGGCGGCTCGAGTTATAACAGGACTGCCTTCTTATACAAGTAATGATTCACTATATTTTGAAACGGGTTTAGAAACATTATCAGAGAGGAGAAAAAGGCGAAAATTGAATATTTTATATAAAATGAAAAACAGTTTAATTAACCCCCAGCTATTTATCGGCCCTTTTGCCAAACACAGTGGGTAACAACAATCGGTACAATTTACGGAACCAATATGATTACAATATTCCTTCTTTCAGACTCTCCTCAAGCAACTCTTCTTTTTTGCCGTCGAGTTTACGTCTTTGGAATTCATTAGACAATACAATAAGAACATTGCCATCTTTAAATACTTTTAAATCTGCTATAACCAGTGGTGCAAATTCGTTTCCACCATCTTAATATAATTTTGGCGAACGCCAAATATACTACATACGAAACTCAGGCATCAGTGCAGCTCTTTGAAAAATTATTTATTCCGTGTTAAGTTTGTTGATAATCCATCATGCGCTTGTGGACATTCCTGTGAGGAGGTTGGTAATTTTTTCTTAGAATGTAAACTTTTTAATACAGCACGAATTACGCTATTTCGAAACATAAACTCGTTGAATAGATATCCAGTAAATTTATTTTTATTTTTATTTGGGAATGAAAATCTGTCCGTTGATACCAATACAGAAGTATTCAGACACGTGCAACTTTTCATCAGTTTCCAGCAACAGATTTTAAGTAAAATATAATAATTGTAAGATATAGTTTGTATGCCTTGTTAAATGCTATCATGTAAATATCAATATGTACTGTATTAGAGGAAAAGGCGTTGAAAAGTTGATATAACTTGTGCCTTATCCTGTGCTAAAATTTGGGGCAATAAATATGTTTAAATCATGTTGAATATTTTTTTCCTTGGGTTCTGTCCCCTGGCCGAGACATACCAGAATCTGTAAAAGTGGTAGTTTCTACTCCTGCTTAACGCTCAGCAATTAGGAGTGGGACGACTGGTTCTCCCGTTGTCAGTATAATGTGACCGGGTCCTGCTGGGTGTTTTCGGCAGTATGTTTCAGTGAGGTAGCACTATAAAATCGGCATCAGTTCCGCGCTTTCACAAGGAGACAAACACTAACATATCGCAGCCTCCCAAAACACACACGCATACACTACACCCATGCATCTTGCACACAGGGGAGGCCGTCCTTAATTACCATAGCTGTTGATAGGACGTTAAACAATACTAAACCAGAAAAAGCAGTTTATCATTCTGACACTGTTTCCATAGCTCCAATCAGATGAAACTGTGAGAACATCAGTAGTGGCCCCTCGATTTTATCCACGTGCTGGCGATGAAAAATTTGCTCTCACGGTAAGCCTCTGAAAACACTGTTTGATATTCTATAATTTCCTCTGGTGACTTCAGTGACCAGTTATCTTGGTTTCTCTGATATTGACGACGTTTTCCCCGTTTTCTGTGTGTGATACATAGGTTTCTTAGATTCTTTCTTGTTAATGTCAATGCCCTGCTATTTCGGGAAGGTCCAGATATCTATATGTAATACATTATATTTTTCAATGTCATCGCTGAAAATGATTATTTCATATTAAAAGTGCAATCATGAAAAAGTCATTGGAACTTTTGGGATTTTTATATTTTCTCTCTACTTCCTAATAATCTTATTGTTTCCTAGCGCCCTCCTTAGCAATGCCTCACTTTTAGCTTAACTGTTAAGCGCTCTTCCAGGCGAGGAATGCAGAATTGGTTCTGTTTCCAATTGTTTTGGCGGAATGCCGTGCTGGGTGCCTTCGGCATAGTATTTCAGTGAGATAACACTATAAATCGGCATCAGATCCGCGCTATCGCAAGGAGGTAAATATACCAACATACCCTGTCTCCGGCACGCATACACTACACATATTGAGGCACGTCCTTAGTTGACCTTGGCCCACTTGTATAAAACATCTCAAAGTTAAAGAAAATCTCAAGCAATGTATTGTCTATGGGAAAGCTTAGACTTGAGGAAATCTCAAGAGTTGAGATGTTTTATACAAGTGGCCCCAGGACTGTTAACAGGTAATTAAACAAAATACAATCAAACCAAAACCAGCAACTCATTGATCTACGTATATACTCTTTGAGCGGCTTTAAAGCAAACCATTTGGAGGTAAATGAAAATCAAGACGATGGTTGTGTTCAGTATTTTTATTAAAAAATGAGGATAAATTATAGACTGTTAAAAAAAGTAACAGCATCAATATACTATACACTTCAGGGATAAGCTTACACCATTATCCTGGCAACCGTTTCCTTGAAAACCCCGTTGCCCCGACAATATCCGTAATTACGTCATTGGTAAGATAATGAATCTTAAAGGTATGTACAAATAATTCTTATCATCTTGAAGTCTATTAATGCGAATCCGCCGATTAAACCAAACCATAACATGTAGTTAAAACTGTTAGTTGAAAAAAGGGATGATAACCTTGCATGTATTTAAAACTTTCAGCTAAAACAGCGTAAGGGGGATAATCTTACATATATTTATAAATGTTAGTTACAACTTGATAAGGGGAAATAATTTGTTATACATATTTATAACTGACAGTTGAAAAAAGAAAAAAAAAAGATAATCCTTCTTTTATCTATACATTATAACTCTAAGCTAAAACAGTGTCAAGGGAGATAATTTGTTGCGTATTAATAGCTGTTAGTTAAACCCGAGAAAGGGGAGATATTTCGCTACATGCATTTATAGCTGTTAGTTAAAACTGGGTAAGGGGGGATATTTCGCTACATGTATTTATAGCTGTTTGTTAACACTTGGTAAGGGGAGATATTTCGCTACATGTATTTATAGCTGTTTGTTAAAACTTGATAAGGGGGGATAATTTGCAACATGTATTCATAACTGTTAGTTAAACCTGGGTAAGGGGAGATCATTTGCAACATGTATTTATAGCTGTTTGTTAACACTTGGTAAGGGGAGATATTTCGCTACATGTATTTACAGCTGTTTGTTAAAACTTGGTAAGGGGAGATATTTCGCTACATGTATTTATAGCTGTTAGTTAAAACTTGGTAAGGGGAGATATTTCGCTACATGTATTCATAGCTGTTTGTTAAAACTTGGTAAGGGGCGATATTTCGCTACATGTATTTATAGCTGTTTGTTAAAACTTGGTAAGGGGAGATATTTCGTCACACATATTTATAGCTGTTAGTTAAAATAACGCCAGAAGAGAACATTTATATCATATATTTATGAGGTGTGGGGATATTCATTTTAACAAGTGTATACAACAGTTTAGTAATATTATGGTAAGGGGAGGTTATTTTTTTATATTTTTTTCCAATGTCGATTTTCGTGATGAAATGCAATTGATATCAATATCTAAATTTGAAAATCCCGAAGTCTTTAATTAGTGTTTGAGCACTATATTCTGTGTTAATAAATATGAACATCAATTATTTGTTTAAAATAGCATTTATGCTTGAATTAATACTGATTACTATAATACAAAACATACTATTTACATACATGTACCTATTATAATGATTTATAACATTGAAGTATTTACAGTCAATACTGACATACACTTAATGAACACTGGAGTTATCGCCTGATAACCTGACTAACATAGAAAACACAGTAAATAAGTCATAAAGTCTGAGCAACGTGTATTCCGTCTTTGCGTATTGCAGAGGTATCTTCTCTTTTTAGCAGGGATTGATTGTTAAGTCATTGGTTTGTGTGAGAAAATTACGTCGGTTTCTCTAAAATTGATGACGTTACTCTCACAAACAAAGGACGTAACAATCAATACCTGCTCAAAAGAGAAGATAACTCTGCAATACGCAAAGACGGAATATGTAACAAAAAACAAACAAACTTACATATAAAACATTCAGTGTTTATATAAAAACTTAAAAAATCATACTGTAATATCAGAGCCCCAAAAAGATAGGTAGTCTACTTAAGTTTCGTGCGGAAAGACAAACTATGTCAGAAGTCATCCTTTCTATGCTAAACAGAAGAAAACGTGCCATCTTTTTTCTGTAAAGATTGAATTTTACGCTGTGTTACGCTTTGTTTAAATTAAATGTAGTATCAAATTCATAATTATCTAGATCTGTACGTACTTTAATTATTTGACAGGAACTACTCCTTGTCGTGGTCAGCCTTTTGGCATTTCAGACGAAATGAGGGCCTGTGTTACATAATGAAGTAGTCATGCGGTAGATCGAAAAAATACGCCGTTTTAAAGTGTTTCGGAATGATGGCCACCCTTATAAGAAATTATATGTAGGTAAACGACAGTCGAAATATAATAACAATGATGAATACGGAATCACTAGCTAATAATGTTCGGACTTCATATACAAAATGTGCTTCTGATAAATGAAGTCACGATATTGAGCAAGCCGAGAGAGAGGTTAATCAAACCAAACTATCTAGGCCTCACTAAGGTAACTCTTTTTCTTATCAGTGTTCCGGTGCAGAGTTAATCTTTATAGATCCTGGATCGGTAAATAAACTAACTTAACCTAAGTTTTTAACTTTGACGAGCATGTACGTTTTTTTTTTCATTTACTGGAAACTGAAAGAGGAAAACCGTTCTGCTTCAATGGATTCTTGTGAAGAAACAATCTGGCAAAACATGAAAACAGACGTGGAGATATGACGAGAAAAATATTGGTAAGTACGAAAGATTAATGTTGAGGGGAATCTATATAAACAGGACACTAGCATAGTGTGTCCCCACAACATTGTACAGACATAATATTTATAAATATCATATGAAAAATAAATATAGAAATATGTGACACTAATATAATGTTCTGATGACGTAGACCACAGACGGTAATGGTGAGAACGGACACAAACGTCGATGTATCCTTCCGCGAGAAAAATATGGCGTGATAAATGTAACCAAAATAGTTCTTCATATACGTTTGATTTTACATGTAAACAAATAATTCCAGGGTTTATCTTGAATTAATTTCTTGATGTGCTTCCCGAAAACGGGAACCGACTATTATTGATAAATTAATTAATTAGTCTTGTGAATTTTCCTAACGGTTATGACTAGGAATATTTGCGCCTTTATCGGTCACCTGTATATGGTGTTCCTTTCAAAAGCGACAATACATTTCATGAGTTCATGACGTCATAAAATCAAACTGCCTCTTTTGAACTTCAGTTAATGAGGACATGGAATAGCGGATCGTTCACAATAAACGTCATAACGAATCGTACACTTCGTGACGTCATACAATTGAAAAAACCTGATCGTTCACTTCATGACGTCATATAATTAACCATTACAAATCCTTCACTTTATGACGTCATATTTTAAAACAATAACAAATCATTCACTACATAAGGTCATATAAAGAAATAACTAATAGTTCACTTCATGACGTCATAATTTAACGAAAATTAGTCCTTCTTGTCATAGCATAACATCATCCAATCAGTTCATTAATCACATATATAGTGTCAGTTCAAAATTTCATACTATTGAAAGGATAACTCATTGTTTACTTCATGACTTCATATGACAGTAAACATATCGTTTACTTCATGGTCTTTAACTGAAAGGTTACCTTCCCGGTAACGTATAATCTCACGCAGCAAAAATAACTCATAAGAACATCATTTCCCAAATCCATGATTTAACATATCTGCCGGGTTCAGCATAAGTAAACCCGATGACGTAGAACCAGACGACGATGACGTTGATTGTGATGTTGGTGATGACGACGATGAGGCAGGGCTGTCGTTATTACTCGTCTGGGTTTCTGACTCGCCATCCTTATCGCGTACTATGGTTAGCGGTGTGTCCGGATTGTCCGTTGTGTCACTGTTAGAATTAGAACCGTCATCTGTACTTCCGGCAGGGTCCACGATAACCGGAACAGAGGGCATGTTAGGATTATCTCCCTCACCAGCAGGACTCATTGTGACTCCCGCTACAGGCGTATCATCAAACGTATCCCGTATCATTTGCGGAGTAGAGGAATCGTCTGCTGTCGTCGATTTAGAATCATCTCCGATCCTGTCGACATTTTTGTTGCCCGATAATATAATCATTGGTATGCCATTTTGCACGATACTTGCAGTCGACAACTGTGTGAACGGATGTGTCGTAGAAGTATCGTCCACATCCCGTACAACGATCAAAGCAGGACCACTGGTTGTAGCATCGCCCTCATTACTGGAACCGGAAGAAACGAACGGCACAGTGCCAAAATCATCAGTATCGCGCTGTATCTGTAGCTCGCCGTCTGACAATTCTGTTACGGGAGTCGTCGGCCCTGGAATAGGAATATGTCTCGGTAATTTTATGGATAAGATATTTTTCAAGTAAATGTTTATCAAGATCTGACAATATAAATATTACATAAAAATACACCGGAACACACGGATCTCACAGTATAATAACAGTTATTTCGATAAGTAGATATAAAAGAAAGATTAAGCCCCCCGATCGAAGGGTGTGGGCTGATGATATTTCACATCAGTGGCGCTGTCTGAGCGTTTTAACGTCAACAAATTTACCTTTTTTCATGGACATCGGTGTCAAATGTGGATGAACATGGAAATTCTGAAAAATGAATAAATTAGTTTATCTTTCAAACAAAGCAAACACAAATAAACGCATCATGGTCAAGTTGGTTTTAATACGATATTAAGTTTGGGTTTGAATCAATCACTTAATTGACTATGATGTTTGTACGGCTGTTCTCTGAACATCGTTTCGATTTCTATATTATGTTGTATGAAGAATGGATCTGACAATGACGATCCAACGTTTCCAAAGTCATTTAAATACTATATTTCCTAAAATAGTTATTGATATATCAATTATTAATCAATTTTTATCAAGGAATTACTTTTTGTCTGGAAAGTGTGTATGCATTGCAGTAAATCTAAAAACAGAACATTTTAGAGGCCATATGAAATGTAGGAATATTTCGGTTAAGAACGATGCGGGGCTCGGTAGTCCGAATTATTCTGATGTTTTATCGACTTTTTTCATATCGGTCTGTCGTCGATTAACGTCAGAACTCCGGCCCTCTATGATATGCGAAATATGCGACCCCTCCCCGGAGCGCACTTCAAACTGATATTTTAGAAACAAATCGTCACTCTCACACACATGTCGCACATGGATCGAAAGATCTATTCTTTATTTACTAGGTGATATCAATAACATGTTTCAAAGATCATTACGAAAAGTATTTTCCAAGTTTTTCTATACCAACCCATGTTTTTAATGGAAATTAGGCCATGAGCAATGTCACATGACTTGACGAGATCTCGCGTTACCGAAGGTATATCCCAACGTTATGACTTAAGCCGGCGAGATTTTAGTCAAGTGGCATTAGAAGGCGGGACTATCAAAAAAACTATAGTAAAACAGAGCAATTTTGAAAAAAATATGTTTTTAGTGATTGTATTGGTTGTTTGAGGCATGTAATTTATGTTCATCTTGTGCATAAAGAATAGATCTTTCGATCCATGTGCGACATGTGTGTGAAAGTGACGATTTGTTTCTAAAATATCAGTTTGAAATGCGCTCCGGGCACGGGTCGCATATTTCCCGCATATTATAGATGGCCGGAGTTCTGACGTTGATCGACGACAGACCGATATGAAAACAGTCGATAAAACGTCAGAATAATTCGGAATAGGGGCTCGGATACCACGTGATCTTTTGTCGCTGTTATCACATTTCTTAACCTTTGGTTTGTTTACAGTAAACATCAGTGACCCTGCCCTAGGAGGGGTTCACACATCGTAAATATATCATGAATTTCTTAGTATAAGACATAAATCATTTGTATTTCTTCGAAATCGCAGTCCACACGAGGTAAACCATTACCAATTAACAATATACACGTAAACATGCATTTGTCCTTGTAGATAAAATTATATGCTGGTGTAGCATTGGGAAATAAATTGTAAAAAAACATAACACTAAAATCTCGACTTAAGTGTCGATAGCATGTTGATCCCGAGGCCACGTCTATAACAACTTGTGTTGGCCATGTGGTTTTACGGTTAATGGTTTATACACATTATAATAAACCACCATTGGCGTTAAAATCATCGTGCTGTTTACAAACATCTATCTCTAACATGTCGGAGGAATATTGCGTCGTAGTTTCATCTATAATCCTCGCTGGTCAATAGTGTGTAGGCAATCAATAAATGAATCAACTGGTCACATGGTCCGTCCGTCCGTTCGTCTGACTGTCCGCTCACGCAAGCGATGGTTTTGATTCAAACATATTTTTATTTGCATCTATTACAAAAGGGATTGGGTACAAGTTGTCAAACTTATATAAAGCCTTGTCCCAATAACATATTATAATATATATACATATACAAGCAAACAAGCAATGAAGGAGGGATTGGATTGTTTAAAGAAGAAGCATTTGCATCCTCACTATTGATTGCTACTGGGAGAGGGAAATGGTTCGAGGGAAATTCTAAACGAAATACTAAATAAACTGGTTTTTAAATATATAATGGATGCGTCTATATTTTTGTCCTCGTCTCTCCTCAACGCTGTTTCCCAATTTTATTCACAAGTCCAGTTCCATCTAGTCCGATTTTTTTCTGGGCCTGACACCAGACTTAGACATTTGACAGATAGACTGACACCAGACTTAGACATTTTGACAGATAGATATTTATTGTCAAATGTCAGGGCCAGAGGAAACTCAGGCTAACCACACAACTATCTGTCAAAATGTCTAAGTCTGGTGTCAGGGCCAGAGAAAACTCGGGCTTACCATCCACACATCTATCTGTCAAAATGTCTAAGTCTGGGGCCAGCCTATCTGTCAAAATGTCTAAGTCTGGTGTCAGTCTATCTGTCAAATGTCTAAGTCTGCACGGTGTCAGGGCCAGAGAAAACTCGGGCTTACCATGCACACATCTATCTGTCAAAATGTCTAAGTCTGGTGTCAGTCTATCTGTCAAAATGTCTAAGTCTGGTGTCAGTCTATCTGTCAAATGTCTAAGTCTGCACGGTGTCAGGGCCAGAGAAAACTCGGGCTTACCATGCACACATCTATCTGTCAAAATGTCTAAGTCTGGTGTCAGTCTATCTGTCAAAATGTCTAAGTCTGGTGTCAGTCTATCTGTCAAATGTCTAAGTCTGGTGTCAGGGCCAGAGTTAACTCGGGCAAACCACACGTCTATCTTTTAAAATGTCTAAGTCTGGTGTCAGAACCAGAGGAAAGTCGGACTAAGTTCCATCTTACCGTCTTCATAAATGCCATGCTTATCTAGGGGTTCTTATGTAAATGTGTTCGTACTTTGTTTATAAAAAACAGGGATTTATCTTTTGGAGACTGATTTGTAATAAAATTTCGACACCAACGACGACACCAGACGTACTAATTAAACACTGAAGGATACTTACAATCCACGAGTACAGGTCTTTCCGGCTCATCAGGCGGATCAACCATCTGTAGACCAGGCTGGAGTTGATCCGATTTGGCGGGACGGGCACAGTATTACTGTCCGAACCTAAGGACAGACAAATATTCAGTATAAACAGACAGACAGACATATGGCCACATGCATGGTTACCGTCTGAACCTATGGACAGACAAATACACAATATAAACAGACAGACAGACAATCACATGATTACTGTCCGAACATATGGACAGACAAATACACAATATATATAGACAGACGGCCACAAAGCTACTGTCCGAACATATGGACAGACAAATACACAATCTGTATAGATAGACGGTCACAAAGCTACTGTCCGAACATATGGACAGATAAATACACAATATATATAAACAGACGGCCACAAAGCTACTGTCCGAACATATGGACAGACAAATACACAATATATATAAACAGACGGTCAAATAGCTACTGTCCGAACCTATGGACAAACAAATAAACAGTTTGTCAAGAAGTTACAGAATGATAGACAGACAAAACTTCTTGATAGTATTATTGTTAGAAAGACTATATACACAATTTTGAACATTTTGAAAGGAAAGCAACGATATATTTTATACACTCGTAGAGAGTGCTCCGACAGCCTACCACACATCACTTACTCAATTTTTACGATCACTGTGACACATTACGTACACAATTCACAAGGAAGATAACGAAATATGTCATGTGCTACCATCCAGAATAGTGCAAAACAAAACCCACACAGTTACATAGAATAAGAGGAGACAATGCATACACAGCTCTCGGGACGACAACGAAACCTGACACGCTAAGTCCGTCTCGGGACGACAACGAAACCTGACACGCTAAGTCCGTCTCGGGACGACAACGAAACCTGACACGCTAAGTCCGTCTCGGGACGACAACGAAACCTGACACGCTAAGTCCGTCTCGGGACGACAACGAAACCTGACACGCTAAGTCCGTCTCGGGACGACAACGAAACCTGACACGCTAAGTCCGTCTCGGGACGACAACGAAACCTGACACGCTAAGTCCGTCTCGGGACGACAACGAAACCTGACACGCTAAGTCCGTCTCGGGACGACAACGAAACCTGACACGCTAAGTCCGTCTCGGGACGACAACGAAACCTGACACGCTAAGTCCGTCTCGGGACGACAACGAAACCTGACACGCTAAGTCCGTCTCGGGACGACAACGAAACCTGACACGCTAAGTCCGTCTCGGGACGACAACGAAACCTGACACGCTAAGTCCGTCTCGGGACGACAACGAAACCTGACACGCTAAGTCCGTCTCGGGACGACAACGAAACCTGACACGCTAAGTCCGTCTCGGGACGACAACGAAACCTGACACGCTAAGTCCGTCTCGGGACGACAACGAAACCTGACACGCTAAGTCCGTCTCGGGACGACAACGAAACCTGACACGCTAAGTCCGTCTCGGGACGACAACGAAACCTGACACGCTAAGTCCGTCTCTGCGTATTGCAGAGTTATCTTCTCATGTGAGAAGGTATTGATTGTACCGTCATTGGTTTGTTTGAGAAAATTACGTCGTTTTCTCAAAAATTGATGACGTTACTCTCACAAACAAATTACGTAACAATCAATACCTGCTCTCAAGAGCAGATAACTCTGCAATACGAAAAGACGGAATAAAAAGTACGTTAGCGATTACAACCAGTGATAAATATAATATAATTCTTTTATGCATTTTAAAAGTTCATGGCAACAAATCAATTATCCGAAACATTTATTTAAAACATTTTGTGTCATAATTTCGACGGGTGGTTGGCATACATGACGATTTTGTATTTTATATCTATTAAAGTATCAGACTGTAATTTTACCTATACAAATACTTTTTCTTATGTGTTCTTAAACCCACACTGGCCAGGATGTCATGGTGTAAGTGAAACAATAGATAACGAAGTGTTCCGAAGAGTTAATCTAAACCTGTCCGAGTAAGAGGGAGGCGTCAAACGTCTTGGTGACTGAGATTATTTAGAGTGTTACACCGACTATATGTAGCCAATCAAATCGGTTGTTACTTCAGAGTTGATCTTACGGGATTTTTTCAAACCAAGAAACATTGGCATTTTTCAAAAGACAGCTCTCTACTGAAACTATAAACGTGCAGGTTCGGGTAGGACCTGCTGTATCCCACTGCATGACAGAATGGAGTGATTCCTTGTTCAGGTTATGACATTTCAGTGAGATGACACTGTAGTTACCGTTTGCGTGGCCCTGTCATCTATTGACACAGTGTTCATACAACTAGGAACAAATCAGCAATCAAACAAATAAACGAACAAACGAACCAATTATCTAATGCTAAGTTTGAAAACACGTTTATATACCATTGTACAATATGCATCCTATTGTATTCGATTATTATATTATACATGTATCATTGTAAATTTGTAATAAACTGTATCATATGTATGTCATTGTTATATCTACACTCCGATGTGTCTTACACAATGAATAAGATAATCTGAATCTGAATCTGAAAACGTAACTAAAATTCAACATTGACTTGACGCCCCATTTAAAACTAATCGATACAAGGCGAACACAAAGTACCCGGATGTCCAACCTTTAGAGCGATGGACTAATACGAAAACCCGCATAGCATGTGTACAGACCAGAAACGTTTACGTCACTGGTTCGGGCCTTTCTCGAACCCCATAACAAGTGACGTCATAGAGGTCGATCGGTTCACACTTTGTCGACCTGTACCTAGGTGACCTTACGACACACGGAGATTACATCGATGGAGTGGCGACCTGCGGACGTCAGACCGGTCACCTTTGGTCAGTTCTGACGACACCTGATAGAGCACATTTGACCGGAAGCTATTTCTCCCGCGTCACTATGTCCCAAAAGCATTGACAGCTTACATTATTGCTTACTAGATTAGACTATATCTCGTGTCCATGACGTTGAGCCCTGGGATTAGACTATATCTCGTTTCCCTTACGTTGATCCCTGGGATTAGACACGGCTTTGACATGACAGTATATGCTGGGGCCTAGTTATCATTGTGCGTAGGAAATTATACCAACCGAAAAAATACGTATAATTTATCAGTGGGGTGGCATTTTCAGGCACTGATTTAAACCTCTAATCAGTGTAAATTCCTACAGACGACAGAAAAACCTCAACCGTTTGTTTTTGTTATACACTGGAAAATGCATAAAACACCCAATACAATACACTATTCCCTACAGCCAGCGGCATGGAACATACATTGAGGCGACTAATGTGCTTCTCCTCTTATTTGATCGTTTGAATTGTACGTGTCTTCTGCTAAAGAGACACTGCAGAAACCGAAATCGATCCTACTTTCCCAATTGTAAAACCTAGGACCTCTTTTGCTTTCTTTTCCTGCCTACTCCCTTTTTCCCTGCCTACTCTCAATTAAACAGTAACAGATCGATCTGTCAATTATTACTTGTAGTTATCGTTCCTAGGCAGAGATTTTGATCCGACGACTTACTTTACATGAACTCTCCCGACATAGAGTGAACTCCCTCGGGATGTACACCTCCCCACCTGTTCGGTTTATCACAAGTCGTCTTAGTATGGAGATTTTCGAGATTTTTTGTGTTTTATTTTAGAAAAACAGTCTTTCCTACTCACACAACTGTGAGGACCAGGGTCCTTTTCGTTCATGGGGAACAATCGGTTTGTCTGTTTTTGAATATTCGGGTATAAATCCTGGCAGGACTGCAAATGTTGATGCAGGCCCTGTAAGGCTTTGTCAAGGCTCGCTTGCACGCATTATCAGAATACTAAGTCCGACCTTATTTCATAAACGAACAACTCTGGTCCAACCGGTTCAACCGTTTGGATCGCGATAAATGAAAGCGGCCCAAGTTGCTACAGTGCCGCCGACAGAACACCGACCTCCTTCAGTGAGACGACGCCCGTATGGGTGGAGTCATGTATGCAATAAACCCGTCAACCAACCAACCAACCAACCAGTGCTACAGTGGGGGTCTTCCCCGAATACCAACTCTGCTTAAAATCACATGTTTACATAGGTGGTCAGTTGTGATGATAGTGAGTTATAGTCTATTGCAGGAAAGTGTACAGGTAAATTGCAAAGGTAAATCAACTTCTGATAACTAATCAGATAATCAATAGCTGCTAATAATTGCAAAATAAGAATTAATATTTAGAGTTCCGATCCCAAGCTGTTCTTCTGATAACTAAGCTGCTAATAATTGCAAAATAATAATTAATATTTAGAGTTCCGATCCCAAGCTGTTCTTCTGATAACTAAGCTGCTAATAATTGCAAAATAATCATTAATATTTAGAGTTCCGATCCCAAGCTGTTAAATGGGTAATGTATAAAACAGCAGCACACTTTGGAGGACTATCATATTTCGCTCTGTACTTGGAAACATCAACTTCTTTACTCAGTGAATATAAATTTTGTATTCAGAATTTGTCATCGTTTTAGTTAAACTTGTACCTTCAGACTTGTGTGATTTCTCTTATAATTATTGTCATATAAAACTTGTACTTATTTTCATATTTGTGTGAACTTGTGTGACTTTATCTGTTATTGTGTGCTACCAAAGACCTTGACCGACATCACCTTGGATGGTAGATGGACAGAAACATCTACAGGCGAACCATTTCTCCTCTTCGACGACGGTGAACAGAACAACAGAATGATTGCATTCGCTACATCAGAGAACCTGGCCGAACTTGCAGCCTCCGATGTAATCTTCAGTGACGGCACCTTCTACACCTGTCCTACTATATTTTACCAGATTTACAGCATTCACGTACAGATTGAAGGAATCATGACCCCAGTTGCATATGTACTACTTCCCGGAAAGAGCCAGGCTATCTACAACCGTTTCTTCACGCGACTACAGGAGCAAACCTCCAGATTCCATTCCGACCCACAACAGCCTTCGTCGATTTTGAGGTAGCAGCACACAACACCATCCGCAGTGTCGTCCCTGGAATCAACATAAAATGCTGTTTTTTTCCATTACACTCAATGTATTTGGCGAAAGGCCAAGTCAACCGGACTCCAGACACTGTACCGCGAGAACGATGACGTCAAACTACTTGTCCACCGAGCTGCTGTTCTTCCACTCACCCCATTTGACCGCATAGAAGACGTCTGGTTCCAAACCCTTGAAGATGCTGATGATGCTGACATACCACATCCCGTACTGCTTTTCACTGACTACGTCACAGAGCAATGGGTAGAAGGAGACCGACCAACCTGGAACCACTTCTCAACAGAAGGACCTCGGACTACCAACCATCTGGAAGCTTGGCACGGAAAACTAAGAAAAGAGTACTTCATGCCCACCCCAACATCTACACCAGCATCCAGACGTTTAAGGACATGCAGAACGTGAATGACATCAGCCGGATCCAGAGAGATGCAGGAGGCACTACTCAACCCTGAAAGAAGAGATACGCCAACTTCGACAGACGCCTGGACACCCTGAAAGACCGTTATCAGACAGGAACTATCGACCTGATGACCTACGCCGACTCAGCATCACAGCTTCTGCATCTGGGATGGAGTGTTTTGTGCTAGAGACTTAAGTGATATATATAGAGAATGTGATTTGTGCTAGAAACCTCAGCTTCATTTAGTGGATTACTGTTTATATTCATGTTTAATTATTATCCTTTAGTGCTGTATTAAATGTGTATTACTGTTATATGCATGAATAAAAACTTAATCTTATTGCTGACATTAGTATCAATGTGGCTTGTATTAAGGAATTTTATTTTTCATATAATGTAATGCTTTTTTTTCATATAATGTAATGCTATTTTTTTCATATAATGTAAGTATCAATATTTAATTATTCTTTTCTATTACTTAGTGCTGTATTAAATGTGTATTACAGTTATTATATGTATGAATAAAAACTTTCTATCCATTTTATTATTGACTTGAGTATCATATCTACAAAATGAGTTGACATTCTTAGTTGAAACAGGCTATAACTAAACTTCAAAGGATTTCCTATATAAACACCTTCCTTTGAATTTTCCAGAGTTGGTATTCGGGGAATGAGCCCTACAGTGCCTGTGCTGTTATATTTGTGGAGGTAATTAAACAGGTGACATATGACCAGTAATACTCTCCTGGTTAGCCGCGTCTGTGAAATCCTCGAACTGTTTTGATTGTAAGAACAGTGCACGTTTGTAGTGTTAAGTATTTTAAAGTATTTGTATCTGATGGACTACGAGTACACTCGCGTTTAAAAGGAGCCTCCACGTGCTGTAGGCTCAGTTTTGTTTACTTCTTTCTCAACTTGAACCTTACGGCTTACCAGTTAAAATAAATATGTGAATAAGAATAAAAAATACAATCACAAAGCAGTTATTCTCATTCACATGCACCCACACCGAGGCATAACCAAGTTCTTGATAAAGCAGGATCCTCTTTGTAGTATAGACCTATAACTATCCACATGTACCTGTTTTAATTTAACGGGTCGATTTCCAAGACGTGACCTACTTCATCGTTACTTCCGCATTCTTCTGCGGCCGTCTGAGGTTAAGATGTAACGGAAATAGCTACTGTCCCCGGAAATCTTTATAACACCGGTCATCCATCAAACCACTAAATACCTGGCCATATCACCTGTCCTCAAACTACTAAATACCTGGCCATATCACCTGTCCTCAAACCACTAAATACCTGGCCGTATCACCTGTCCTCAAACCTCTAAATACCTGGCCGAGCAGACATGTAATAAACCGCTAAATATATATACCTGACAAACTCACATGTGGTTTTACTACTAAATACCTGACAAAGTCACCTGTCATCAACCCTCAAAATACCTGAAAAAGTCACATTTAATCAAACCTCAAAATATCTGAAAAAGTTACCTGTTATTTGACCACTAAAAGAATGACCGACACATCTGTATTGTTGATGAGTGTGACTGCCGATTCAAACTTTGACAGGTAATGAAATGGCTACGAACAATTCACCAAACTCGAGATGACATCCGAAATATAAGAAAGTTGAAGCCCGTATGAGGCGCCGTTTTGTTTTACTTTTTCCTTTATAAGCCGTAGATTACGCAGATTCGATGACCGTAATTGTAATTGTTTAATAAATGCAATGAGAAATATACTTATCATTGGCGCATTCAAATATTATCATTCTTTTTATACTATCATCGGATAATATGACGTTGTGGGGTATAAACTGATAGTAAGATTACATAATACAGAATACTTTGAGCGGAAATGTCACCTTCCGTTTAATTACGTTGACGTCATATGAAATATTCACATGTAATTCGCCGCATATTACTGAATTAAAACTGAATGGCATTTAAAGAGACGTAAATAATTTGTCTACATGATGACAATCTGAGTAGAGAGGTAACACCTTACCTGTATTCCACAGAGGTACCGATTCCGACACATGTCCAAATATGGTAAGCACCACAACTAACAAACAAAGCGGACGCGTAACCAAAGTTACGCCGAATACATTCATGATGAACAGATTCCTGAGTCTGGTTCAGTTTCTCGGCACTTTGGAACAGATTTTGGTGTTTGTCGCACTCTTATATGCGCATGAACAGCTTCTCGTGTCTGATTCAGTTTTTACACGTGCTGTGATACAGATTTTGGTGTTAGACTCACTCCTTTGTGCGCGTGACTAGTTTGTAGTGTCTGGTTCAATCTTTACACGTGTTGTGATACAGAAAGATTACATTGTTGTCCTAATGTACACGGTCAACCAAAGTTTGACGGAATAGGTCACGTCCAAGTCATGTGCCAGAAACGGTCAGTCAATCTTTGAAGTCAAAATGTTTCAATAATCACAGCATTCGGCAATACGCCTCAACCTTCCTTATACAAACGTTACGAGATAATGTAAGTATTCTTCCGGAAAATATCCCTAATTTCTTGGAAAATGCCTCTTGCCTTTTTACGATGATTCCAATTTAAGTATTTGTTTTGCAAACACCAAATAATTTAAGAGATAGTAAATCACAATTTTGATATAGATTCTGTCTATAAGATCATACACTACGGGTGCCACTGGAAGACTAGGGCAGAATGTGGTTGTTTATCATTTAATACTTACATATCCAGCTTATCTCTCTCCCCCCGGGGTATTGAATATTTCGAGGAACTGTGGGTGACCACACGACCACGCGACCTTACCCGCGTAAACATCCGGAAGCAATGTTTAATGTCGACGCTATGTCTGGCATTCGTCACGTTCGGAACACATCGCGTGTTAATAATGAAATCAGTAAATAACACTTCGGAATATTTCTGATTGGCTTGATAACAAGATGGTTATAGATTCTCCTTTCCATGTATTTCTAGTAATTGTTTTACGAAACAAAATGATTGTTAGCCGTTATCTTTTAGCAGGAATATGTTAACATGAGATAATGTGTTATCTTTTAGTCACACGTTTTGTAACTTTGTAAATTTGTAAATTTGTAGCTTGTAACTTTGTAAATGTGTAACTTTGTAAATTTGTAACTTAATAAAGAGCCTTATAGGACATTCCCTTTCTGCAGTATTCATTAAATGTTTCCAAACGCTTTAGACATTGATGTTTATTCTTTTTGACCAATAGTATTTTTGATGAGTCCAAATTAGACGGGTCATCGGAAGGTCGACCAGGTGGCGCAGTGGATAGCGCACTTCCCTTTTGCCAAGGTGGCAGGGGTTCGATTCCCCGATCGGACGTGAAAAGGAATGGGTCATTTGCACAGGTCACTTGGGTTTTCTCCGGGTACTACGGTTTCCTCCAAAAATGAGACCCACCACGAGATAATATTTGCGCCAACAAGAGTGATAAATGTAAGTTGAAATAACTTGTTTCTTAATTGTTGTAAAAATTTATTTTAAATGGACGAAATATCCATGTATGGTACAGTAAAATGGTTACTTTCTTTCTACGTCGACAAACGTACTTTTACAAGATCCTCTCTTCATATTTGAAGTAATTGGTTAAGGTAATAGGATGGTTGACTCTGCGGGAAGGCCATACGTCACAGCTGTTTACCGTTACCTTGTAGATGGAATCATATTCTGGCACAGTTAAAATGAAATACTTGTTTAAGACCAATAATTTAAGTCATACGTTGTAAATCTGTAACTTCTCTATGTTCCACATTTTTTTCGGAACACTTTAGACATGAGCTTTTTAATTCTGTTGACATTAAGTGAGAACCGGTGAGTCCTTAATTGACAAAATGGCGATCTGGTACAGTAACAGCACAACAAAATAATATCGAATGTAAACAAAATTATAAATCAAACTTGAAATCCCAAAAACATTGGCATAATGTGAACGAAGAAATTTTTTACAAGCAGAGTCTTGAAAGAGTAAAAGGGGAAAAAGACCAAGAACCCGTATTCATGAAAATATTTTTTTGCCGAAGCATTTTAAAATTATTTTCTTAAACCGACTTTCTTGTAACTCAGTTAAATCACGTCAAACGATCAAAAAGTCAAATATAACATTGAAAACAATATTTGGTTTTAGTCTCTTCAAACGTTTTCCAAATCATTGACAAAAACAAGATTTTTGTATTAATTTATAACCGTAACAAGGCTTGAGCAGCGGAACGGTTTCATGCCTACGGGCCCAGGGTGTTCTGGATGTGTGAGCGACTTCTGCTTCATTAATGACACTCTTGTTGGCCCAGATGATAGCGCGCGAGGGTCTTTATGTGGGAGGAAACCGGAGTACCCGGAGAAAATCCACCTGTTTCCTAACCAATTTACATGTGTTATTACCTACGTGTAATAGCACGTGAACTCTGAAACAGTTACCTGTTTCCTAACCAAGTTACATGGGTTATTACCTACGTGTAATAGCACGTGGACTATGAAACAGGGCCGGCTGGATTACGTGTGTCCCTACGAATTTACAAGGGATATAACCTACGAGTAATAGCACGTGGACTATGAAACAGGGCCGGCTGCATTACCTGTGTCCCTACTAATTTACAAGGGTTATCACCTACATGTAGTCCCACGTGACCTTTGAAACAGACCTGACTGTTCTAACTGTTTCTTAGCGAATTTACAAGGGTTATCACCTACATGTAGTCCCACGTGACCTTTGAAACTGACCTGATTGTACTATCTGTTTCCTGACGAATTTACAAGGGGTATTCCGTACGTGTAATAGAACGTGGACTCTGAAACAGGGCCTGCTGTTCTAACTGTATCCTAAACACTTTACGTGTATTGCTACATGTAAAAGCACGTGAACTCTGAGACAGTCCTGGCTGATCTACCTGTTTCCTAACCAATTTACATGGGTTATGGCATACGTTGAATAACACGTGAACTCTGAAACAGGGCCGGCTGTATTACCTGTGTCCCTACGAATTTACAAGGGTTATTCCGTACGTGTAATAGCACGTGGACTCTGAAACAGGGCCGGCTGTATTACCTGTGTCCCTACGAATTTACAAGGGTTATAACCTACGTGTAATAGCACATGGACTCTGAAACAGGGCCGGCTGTTCTAACTGTATCCTAAACAATTTACATGTATTGCTACATGTAAAAGCACGTGAACTCTGAAACAGTTACCTGTTTCCTAACCAATTTACATGGGTTATTACCTACATATAGTACCTCGTGACCTTTGAACCAGGTCTTGCTGTTCTACCTGTTTCCTAACGATTGTACAAGGTTTAATATGAAAAGGCAAAGCCTCAAAAGAGCGTCGCTTTTGTTGATATCCTATATTTACTGATTCAGAATACAAATTTCAGAATAAGATAAGATAAACTTTATTTAAAGTCGGCTAGTCGAGGAATAAAAATAAAACACAAGCTCTAATGAGATTAAGACCGTCATAACAATAGGGAGACCGGGGCAAGTTCGGCCTTTTTTTAATTATTAAAGTCCGTTCTAGGAAGTATGGCAGCACGTTTTTGAACATTATTTAACTTTTCCTTTCGAAAGATCGGATGGCCGAACCGGCGAGCCCCGCCATGGGGTAAGTTCGGACAGGCATTCGGGTAAGTTCGGCCCCTTTTGCAATCAGCTTAATTATGAAGTCATAAAGCATGCAACGTCAGATCTTACCGCCAATTTTACGACTTTTTATGTGTTAATTACATGGGCCGACCTTGCCACGGTATTATTAGTTGAACCTGTTCGGGCCCAAATTGATTTTTCAATAAATTCTTATCGTACGGCAATATGGTATTGAGTGATTGGCTTGGCTTTTATGTATTATTATTTGAAGCTGTCACACGTTTGACTGTAAAAAGTGGCAATTCCGTTTCAAAAAGTTCGCATAACTAGAAGCGAGATCATGATTTTCTTTCTACCCTCTCAAAAGTAATTTTCTCCTGTTACTAGTAAGTCATTTTACATTAGAGTTTTCCTCGCCATTTTTTCTTCGTTGAATGCCCAGCAAATTAAACTGCTAAGATCCTTAAAGTTGTAAATATTAGCTCAAAAACAAAAACACATAAGGGATGGCCGAACTTGCCCCAGTCTCCCGTATATAGATTTTTTTTTATATCATTGATGATTGGTAAAGTATTCACATAATTTTTGCATCAATGACGCCATTTTTTTCCAGTCAAAGCTAAAGTAGATATTTGTTCTTGTGCGTAACGTCATATGATGGGTCGGGTGGCGCAGTGGATAGTGCGCTCGTCTTCACACTGATGTCCTGATTTAATTCCGGTCACCTGCCCGACCACGCGGGTTTTCTCCGGATACTCCAGCTTCCTCCCATATTAAGAATAGAACCCTCTGCGTGCTTCCGTCAGAGCACAAAAAGAATGATTGAGATGGGCTGGGGTAAACTGTTTGGTAATTGCTATATAAAAAGTGCATATAACATATTTGATGTTCTATGTACTGTCAACGATACTATTGTTAATGCCTTTGATGATTCTTGCACGTTAAGTGATTCTGGTGTTGAGCGTGCATTACGCATTGACCACCATGTTTATGATAAACTTACAGACACATGGGTTAAAAAACGGGTTGTTGCAAAAGTTTTTCATTATGATTACTCTGCCCTTGGTTTTGATTTGAAATAAACAAATGCTCTATTTCAGCTACTGTACCTGTCATGGCAGATACAGGATGTCAGAGCTGCCTAGCTGGTTTGAGAGTCATCTATGGGTTAGGCCTACGTGAATCAGTCCTCATCCCGGTGACCATGCACATGCATACAGCCACAAATGTTGGAATCAAGATCATCGGTGCTACAATACTCCGCTTGAGCGCCACTAACGATACAGGCAAGCCAATAGAGACTAGATGACTTACATATGTGATACCACTGACAGGTTGTACCTCAGCAGAGAAGCCTGCTCAGCACTAGGTATTATTCCCGATGCCTTCCCCGCGGTTAATGCATACGCAGCTAATGCTATCCCTGTGAACCCCCACACCCACCAGTGGAATCGCATCCATGTGACATGGTGTCACAGTATGTTCATATGCGCGAAGAAAAATGGCGAGCCTCGCAGGACAGTTGACTTCCAGGCCCTCAATGCTCACGCGACACGTGAAACCCATCATACTCAATCACCATTTTACGAAGCCCGTTCCGTCCCACATGGCAAAAAGAAAACAGTGTTTGATGCTTGGAACGGTTACCACAGTGTACCCATACGCGAGGAAGACCGTCACCTGACAACCTTTATCACCCCATGGAGACGATACAGATATAAGACAGCACCTCATGGGTACATTGCATCCGGTGACGGATACACACGTAGGTACGATGAACTTGTCTCGGACTTCGCCAACAAGACGAAATGCGTAGATGATGTGTTGTTATGGTCCGATTCCATAGATTCCATTTCAGGCAGTTCGTTGGTTAGACTTATGTGGCAAGAACGGCCTTACCCTAAACCAAGGGTTATCACCTACATGTAGTCCCACGTGACCTTTGAAACAGACCTGATTGTACTATCTGTTTCCTGACGAATTTACAAGGGTTATTACCTACACGTAGTACCACGTGACCTTTGAGACAGACCTGATTGTACTATCTGTTTCCTGACGAATTTACAAGGTT